GGTGAACTGCTTCCCGAGGAACTCCCCTCCCCGGTCTGAGCGCAGCATCAACACCGACTTCTTCGTCTGCCGCTCAGCCACTGCCAGCCACTGTACGAAGGCCTGCAAAGCATCTGACTTCTTGGTGACCGGCTTCACCCACACGTAGCGGGTCTTGCGGTCCTTCAGCAGCAAGAAGTACAGGCTGCCATCCTTGGCAGCCACGCGAAACGGCCCGCACAGGCCGATTTGCACAACGGCTTGCACGTCGTCGGCGTCGGAGCCATGGTCGGGGAAGGTGTGCCGCGCCAGTTTCCCACCGGCGCACGAGACACACGGGGAGTCGGCGTCCGTCGCCGACTTGAGGTCCAGCCCAATGGCGACCTCATTTTTCGCCGAGCTCCGTATGGTGTCCATGCCGACATGCGCAAGCCTCGCATGCATCCGGTCCGGCGTCGACTTCGTCTTCGAGACGATCGCCCGCAGAGCCATATCCTCCGTCGTGGGCGGCTTCGACCTCGTCCCGCAGGGACGCAGGTCGGTGCAGAGGACTCGCCTAGAGTACGTCGCACGCCCGAGCACCTCCCCTGCTGCCGAGACGAGCAGCATACCGTCTCCGTCCTCCTGCAGCTTCACGCCGTGCTCCTTCAGCTGGCCGACTGACAGCAGGTTGGCTCACACACCCGGGACGTACAACACGTCGGGGATGAGCACCTCCTTCCCGGCCTCTCCTCGCAGAGCGATGGTGCCGCAGCCCTGGACATCCTGCAGCGCCCCATTGAAGCCGCGCACATGCCTGATGGCACCGCTCGGCTGCAAGTCGACGAAGGCTTCCTTCGTCCCCATCAGGTGGTGGGAGCAACCGCTGTCGAGCAGGACCACCGCCGGGTTCGCCTGCACAGCTGCCGCCACCGCCTGGAAGTCCTCTCCGGCCTCCGGCACCAGAGAGATGGTCGGCTCCACGACGCCAACCAGCGAGCACGACGCCGTCTTGTCGTCTCGCCCCTTGCCACCAGCAGAGGAGTCGGCGTCCTTCGCCGAAGTCGATGTCTTGGTCGACTGCTTCTCCTTGCGCGGCTAGTTTCTTTCACAACGAGGACGACGGCTGCCAGACCTCCCACGGCCGCCCTTGTCGTCATCGTCAGAGTCACTACGGTCGGGACACTCGAAGGAGAGGTGATCGGGGCTGTGGCAGATCCAGCACTCTCGGCGTCGACCTCCTCCTCCTCGACCGCCGTCCTTGGTCGACTTCTTCTCGACCTCCTTGGTCGACTTCCAGCCGCCGCTCCCTCCGCCACCAGACTGTCCGCGCTGTCCCGGTCGGCCTCCTTGCTTCCCTGAGGTAATCGAGTTCGCATGCGCCAAGACCTCCTATGATCGCTCAGCCTCCTGCATCGCCTCGTCCTGCAGGATATACGAGGTCAGGTTGTCCTCGTTGAGCGTCGCCCTTGTGCTCGGCGCCATAGACAGCCGCTTCAGCAGGTTGTAGCTGCTAGAGAGACCCTACATGACATGGGTGATGTACGACGCCGTGGAGTACTGCGCGCCAGCCATCCTGATGGTGGCGAGAATTTGCCGTGCCCGGTTGCAGTAGTCGGTCGCTGTCTCCTCGTCACCCATACGCAGGTGCGTCAGCTGTCCCTCCAGCTGGGCGATGAACAGGTCGTCGGTGACCTGGTACGTCGACTCAATGAAGTGCCACGCCCGGTGGCTAGCGTCGATGTACTCCCGGCACCACTTCAAGGCGATCTGCACGCCCGGCGAGCAGCACCGCGAGATGACCGTGAAGGTCAACAGTTGCACGACGCGAAACTCCGCACGCAGGTCGGGGTGGTGCTCCCCCGGCGTCGCCACGGTCCCTCGGGCGAAGCCGATCAGCCCAGCCATCTCCAGTTGGGGCTCGATAGCTTCCTTCCAGGTGAGAATGTCGGGTCAACCGACCAGCGGAGGGGTGACCGAGATCCTGTCCGGCGTAAACTTGAAGTAGCCGTAGCTCCATGCAATCCCACCTGCCGTCACCTGAGACGCCGACATCGGCGACAGCCCACTCCGTCGACCTCCGACGTCACCCCGGGAAGAGCCTGCAGCCGCCGACGACTGCATCCCTCGCGCCTGAACGCCGCCGACTTCACCGGCGTGTATCACACCTCTCTGCCTCGTCGTGCCTCCAGCACTGCTGCCGACTTGACCACCACCGGCGTTGACGCCCACGTCAACGCCGCCTTTGTTGTTCACTGGACGAGGAGAGGCAGGTCGAGACGGGTGCTCCGTCGCCCACATGGAGCGGAGTCCAGCCTCGACGACCGGCCAGGGTAAGTCGCCGTACTCGTTGGCCTCGTGCTTCCTCCTCGCGTTCTCCAACTGTGCCTCTAGGGTGTCCACCACCCCCGCGCCACCTACGGCTCCTACCATAGTGACTTCCGCAAAGTTGCCGGCCTGCAACTACGAAATAGGTAAGTGGTGTCTACGTCGACCAGACTGAAAGGTAAGTCGTGTGCCGTCCACGCTCACCGCACCATGCGGAGATAACTGCAGCAACGGGAGCTAGACTACAGGCTAGGCACGTGTGCTCGTGTGATCTCTGCGTTCGTTAGTCCTTAGTCGTTTTCCTTGTGCACACACTACTTGCTAGTTCACGGGGAAAGTTGGCAAGAGTTTCACTAGGAAAAGTTCAGAACAATTGGTACAATGAAGTTGGCATAGCAAGACTACATCCGAGTAAGCATTCAGGTCGGCCAACTGCCAGCGCAGCTTGGTCGACCACGTTCCAGCACAACTTGGTCGACCGCGCTCCAGCAAGGCGAGGTCGACGGCGTGCCAACGTCGCAGGTTTGACGGTGTGCCAGCATTGCTCATGCAGGACAGCAATGCACCCGCTTCGCAGGTGTGCGCAGATGATTGGCGTGCAGAGTTTCGTCACCTGCACAGCGCACACACCACGTCAACCTCGAGCTGACGACTTCCTCTGATCGGCCACGTCGACCTCGGGATACCACCACCGAGGTCGGGCTCGCCAATTTAGCCTGGGCGACCGTCGCACTCCTCCGCAGCACTTCGTCACCCAGGTAACCCGGTTGACCAGGCAACCACGTCGACCAGCAGCTCCCGTACGTGCCCGTCGACCTCCCAAGTCGACGACCACCTTCACGTCGACCTCACCAATTCGACGACAACATCGGTCGACCTCCTCCAGATCGACGTCCCCTCTGGTCGACCAGCTCCACGTCGACCAGCACAGTCGTGGGCCGACCACCCACGTCGGCCACCCGTAGTTGGCTCGAGGGTTCCCGAGGTTGGGGTAGACATTTGATATTGGGGTAGCCAACTACGGGTAGCCTATATGGGGTACACATTTCTAGGGTTGCATTTTTGTATCACTTCCATTCCTTAGTCATTTCATTCTCGTTTTACTTTCCTCAAGTACGCCGACGTTTGACATATTTCTCATTTCCATATTTTTACTCCATCTTATTCTCCTTTTTTTCCTCTTTCATTTGCACTTTATTTCACCCCAATCGGACTACTATTCTTTTTTCTAGAGCTTTCCGATTATTTCCCTTATTTGGTATTTTCGGCACCGACATTTACATTATACGACACCGACAGCACCGACAGTGGTGTACAAGGCGTAATCTTGTCATAATCCGAAGTGCCAATGGGCTTGCGTGCTTATGCGCAGTTGTGATGATCTATTCTAGAAGAGCACATTCCCGAAGGTTTGGATTATCTGTTGTTTCTATGTATTTCTAATTATAAATACGCCTTGGACTCACCTTTAGTGCAACTTTCTCGAGTGGAAATTTGATCCTGTGACACTTGGTAATCAGAGCCGTTTCACTCGCGGAGTTTGAGCTAAGCAGCGCGCTCAAGAAATTCTTGCTTCGAAAAACCGCCGAGGGCGACGAATTCGGCGCCGACGCTGGTAAGCACCAGATTCCGCGTTTTTTTAAATACCCCCCTGTCAGAATGTTTTTCTCTAGCCTGTAGTGGGGTGCTCTATAGCAAATACAACCCATCTGGGGTTTGCTATATGTATCCTCATTGCTGCTAGTGAAATCACTCCTTCATTCTCGTTCTCTTTTCACATGGTATCAGAGCGTTTCTGATCCTAGGACCCAACTGCTTCTGCTACTACTCTGTGCTCGGCACGACCCGTGGCGTGCCCCTCGCGCTTCTCTTAGCGGCCCCGTTGCCGCCCTTCCTAGCCCCTCGCGGCCCCTTCGCGGCCCCGTTGCCGCCCTTCCTAGCCCCTCGCCGCCCTTCCGCGGCCCCGTCGCCGCCCTTTTAGCGGCCCCGTTGTCGCCCTTCCGCGGCCCCGTCGCCGCCCTTTCAGCGGCCCCGTCGCCGCCCTTTCGCGGCCCCGTCGCCGCCCCTTCAGCAGCCCCGTTGCCGCCACCCCTTCAGCGGCCCCGTCGCCGCCCCTTCAGCGGCCCCGTTGCCGCAACCCCTTCAGCGGCCCCGTCGCCGCCCTTCAGCGGTCCCGTCGCCGCCCTTCCTCGGCCCTGTCGCCGCCTACAGCGGCCCCGGCTCGGGCCCCGCCCTGGCCATGCCCCGCCACCAGCCGCGGCACACCGGTGCACCCCCCCCCCCCCCCCCCCCCCCCCCTTTTCCCGTCGCCTGTCGAGGGGCAACCTTGGGGGGGGGTGGGGCGAGCGTCGCCCCTTCTGCCGCCTACTTTGGTGCCCTGGGAGACCGCGCGTCGCCCCCCCCCCTCCCCCCCCCCCTCCCTACCCGCCATCCCGCCCTGCCCTGTGTTAGGGTTTGGGGGTGGCAAGTGACAAAATACTCGCATGATTTTGGCTTGGGAGCCATAGTCTAGGAGCCTTGGTAGTTGAGTTCGAGTTTAGGAAAAGTATCGAGAGGTTTTGGAAGGAGAGGAATGAGGTTTCAGTAGCAAGAGTTGGGATACAAGTACAACACCCTAAATTGGGTTGTACTCATTACAGAGTACCCCACTGCAGGCTAGACAGCAAATACATTCTGACACACCCCCATAGCCAAAGTGGGGTGTAATCAGCACAATGAGCCAGAATAGAGCAAGAGTTCACAATAGGTAAGTAAGGCTAGAGCTAATCATAGAGGGCAAGTGAGGAGGAGGAGAGACTGTGGGGGAGAGAAGATGGGAGGCGACTGCTAACGCTACAGACACACAGACGAGCTGCTGGCTCAGTGGCTACCGGAACAGCGCTCCAAACTACTGGGGTAACTGGCCTCGCGGCTAAAAGTAGCGGCAGATGAGCAACGGACCCACGGGCGACTGGCGACTACCGGAGATTGTAGCCTCCGGACTGCTGCTGCTGCTGACGACAAGACTGCTGCCTCCACTCAACCTCCCCCGGCTGCCCAACGCCCCTCTCACACACCCCCTGCTCAAACCCTAGCCCTACACCCACAGCACCCCCTTAAAATCTAAACCCCAGACTCCCACACATCCACCCTCCTCAGCGAGAGCTGCAGCAGTGGGAGACCAAGGAGGAGGAGGAGGAGGGAACGGCACGCACAACCAACACCCCCACAACCATCACCCCCACACCCACCCCCCCACGGCTGCACCTGATCCAGGAGCGGCTGCTCCAGGGGCCAGGGGCGGCTGCTGCCGGGGCGGCTGCTCCAGGGGCTGCTGCTGCTGGGGCGGCTGCTCCAGGTGCTGCTGCTGCTGGGGCGGCTGCTCCAGGGGCTGCTGCTGCTGGGGCTGCTGCTCCAAAGGCTGCTGCTGCTAAGGCGGCTGCTCCAGGGGCTGCTGCTGCTGGGGCGGCTGCTGCAGTAGCGGCGGCTCCAAGGTCTGCTGCTGCTAGGGCGGCTGCTCCAGGGGCTGCTGATGCTAGGTCGGCTGCTCCAGGGGCTGCTGCTGCTGAGGCGGCTGCTTCAGGGGCTGCTGTTGCTAGGGCGGCTGCTGCTAGGGCGGCTGCTCTAGGGGCTGCTGTTGCTAGGGCGGTTGCTTCAGGGGCTGCTGCTGCTGGGGCGGCTGCTGCTGGGCTGCTCCAGGGGCTGCTGCCGCTGGGGCGGCTGCTCCAGGTGCTACTGCTGCTGGGGCGGCTGCTCTAGGGGCGGCTGCTGTTTGGGCTGATGCTGCTGGGGCGGCTGCTCCAGGTGCTGCTGCTGCTGGGGCGGCTGCTCCAGGGGCTGCAGCTGCTGGGGTGGCTGCTCCAAGGGCTGCTGCTGCTGGGGCGGCTGCTGCAGTAGCGGCGGCTCCAGGGGCTGCTGCTCCTGCTGGGGCGGCTGCTCAAGAGGCTGCTGCTGCTGGGGCGGCTGCTCCAGGGTCTGCTGCTGCTGGGGCGGCTGCTCCAGGGGCTGCAGCTGCTGGGGCGGCTGCTTCAGGGGCTGCTGCTGCTGGGGCGGCTGCTCCAGGGGCTGCTGCTGCTGGGGCGGCTGCTCCAGGGGCTGCAGCTACTGGGGCGGCTGCTCAAGGGGCTGATGCTGCTGGGGCGACTGCTGCAGTAGCGGCGGCTCCAAGGGCTGCTGCTGCCGGGGTGGCTGCTCCTGGGGCTGCTGCTGCTGGGGCGGCTGCTCCTGGGGCTGCTGCTGTTGGGGCGGCTGCTCTAGGTGTTAGAATCACTGAACAGGAATGAATGAACTAGCAGTGAAATGAGTACAAGTACCTAACCCTAGAATTGTGTACCCCCTATAGGCTAACCCACTGTAGCCTAAACTAAAACAACATATATAATGTTTGACACGAGGGGCTGCTGCTGCTGGGGCGGCTGCTCCAGGGGCTGCTGCTGCTGGGGCGGCTGCTCCAGGGGCTGGTGCTGCTGGGGCGGCTGGTTGAGGGGCTGCTGCTGCTGGGGCGGCCGCTGCAGTGGCGGCGGCTCCAGGGGTTGCTGCTGCTGCGGAAAGTAGGAGGGAGGGGAGGGGAAGGGCGCGGCCGCCATTGTGCCCAGACGGGCGATGTGCAAGGGAGCCGCGCAGGTCCCCAAAAGTGCCTCGACTGGCAACGAGAGGGGACCGCGCGCAGGCCCCTAAGGCGCCGCGACGAGGCAACGGGAGGGGCCGGCTCGCGAGCCCCAAAAGTGCTGCGACGAGGCGACGGAAGGGACCTGCGTGCGGGCCCCCAAAACGCCGCGACGAGGCTGGCAACGGTCGGGGACAGTGCGCGGGCCCCTAAGACGCCGCGACGAGTTAGGAACCTGCCGCGCGCCTCGGGGCGCACAGCGGGCAGAAAACCGCCACGCGCTCAGAGCGCATGGCGGGAAGAAAAATGGGATGTCGCACGCCACGGGGCGCGCGACACACAGTAGGGCAGCGGAATTGAGTGGGCCCACAGGCCAGGAACGTTAAGCTCTGATAACATGACAAAATACTAGCGTGAGTTTGGCTTAGGAGCCATAGTTTAGGAGCCTTGGTAGTTGAGTTCGAGTTTAGGAAAAGTATCGAGAGGTTTTGGAAGGAGAGGAATGAGGTTTCACTAGCAAGAGTTGGGATACAAGTACAACACCCTAAATTGGGTTGTACTCATTACAGAGTACCCCACTGCTGGCTAGACAGCAAATACATTCTGACAGCAAGAAGGGGGTGACGGGTGTGTGGTCTCCCCTGCTCCTCCTCTTCCTTCGTCTCCCACTGCTGCAGTTGTCGCTGAGGGGGGTGGATGTGTGGGAGCCTGGGGTTTAGGGTTTAAGGGGGGTACTGTGGGAGTGGAGCTAGGGTTTTGAGGGAGGTGGATGTGTGGGCGTCTGGGGTTTAGGGTTTACGGGGGTACTGTGGGTGTAGGGTTAGGGTTTGAGCAGGGGGTGTGTGAGAGGGGCGTTGGGCAGCTAGGGGAGGTTGCGTGGAGGCAGCAGTCTTGTCGCCAGCAGCACCAGCAGTCCGGAGGCTACAATCTCTGATAGTCGCCAGTCGCCTGTGGGTCAGTTGCTCGTTTGCCGCTACTTTTAGCCGCGGAGCCAATTACTTTCGTAGTCCGGGCCTTTGCTTCGGTAGCCACTGAGCCAGCAGCTCGGCTGTGTGTCTGCAGCGTTAGCAGTCGCCTCCCATCTTCTCTCCCCCACAGTCTCTCCTCCTCCTCACTTGCCCTCTGTGATTAGCTCTAGCCTTACTTACCTATTGTGAACTCCTGCTCTATGCCTGCTTGCTCATTGTGCTGATTACACCCCACTTTGGCTATGGGGGTGTGTTAGAATGTTTTTCTCTAGCCTGTAGTGGGGTGCTCTATAGCGAGTACAACCCATCTGGGGTTTGATATATGTATCCTCATTGCTGCTAGTGAAATCACTCCTTCATTCTCGTTCTCTTTTCACACCCCCTCGCGCGTTTTTTGAACAGGATCGTGAGTTCATTTGTTGGCGAAAACGTTTGCGATATAGCGACCACATTTGCGAATTGTCCGGACCTATATCGAGCGGTGCAGAAGTAGCGAGACCGGCGCGCGACAGATCGAACTCCTCCTCACTTGCCCTCTGTGATTAGCTCTAGCCTTACTTACCTATTGTGAACTCCTGCTCTATGCCTGCTTGCTCATTGTGCTGATTACACCCCACTTTGGCTATGGGGGTGTGTTAGAATGTTTTTCTCTAGCCTGTAGTGGGGTGCTCTATAGCGAGTACAACCCATCTGGGGTTTGATATATGTATCCTCATTGCTGCTAGTGAAATCACTCCTTCATTCTCGTTCTCTTTTCACACCCCCTCGCGCGTTCTTTGAACAGGATCGTGAGATTGTTTGTTGGCGAAAACGTTTGCGATATAGCGACGACATTTGCGAATTGTCCGGACCTATATCGAGCGGTGCAGAAGTAGCGAGACCGACGCGCGACAGATCGAACGACTTTGGGTATATCGCCATGGCGAATATTGCGACAGATGCAGAATCGATCGTGACTTCGCAGCAGTCGCGAAATTTTCCCAAGGCCCAAGAAATTCGAGGCCCCAACACCTTTGATAGGGAGATCGACGCTAGGCGCTGGCTTTCAGCGATCGAAATTTATTTCGCCGCCATTGGATGGACAACACCAGTACTCGACAAAAACAGAATTAAGTTTGCAGCAACACTACTGCGCGGACCAGCAATTGAATGGATAAGCGTAAGCGGTTTATTAAACCAAGGTGAAGCGACGTGGCAGCAGTTCCGCGAAGGAGTATTACAACGTTTTGAGCCGATTAATGCAGCGTTAATCGCCCGCGACAAAATGCATTGTCATCGACAAATCGGGAGCGTCAAAAACTACACACAACAAATGGAGGAGTTGTTCAACCGCATCCCCGACGTCATGGAAGGCAAAAACATTAGAGCATTCATCGCGGGCTTGAAAAAAGAAACACGACAACATGTTGCGGCCGCAAATTGGAGCAGCTACAACGACGTCGTTTCGGCAGCAGAACGTTTCGAAGTAACCACGATTGGAACACGACGACTTCATGGACGAGCCAGACGACATGGAGGATGCTTGGCTACCCCCACGTGCGCCGACCCGATGGAACTCGATCAAATCGACGCGAAGGCAAGACCAAAGAACAACAAATCTAAGTGTTCTTTCTACGACAAGCCCGGAGATCGACTCACCGATTGTGACGAAATGAGAATTGCACCTTCAGCGCTTAGGGACCGCAGCAGTGGAGCAAAGTTAATGCGAACATTGGAGGATCGTGGAGTAAATTCTTCAACCCACGAACGGACTCTACCAGGGAAAATCGCCGAGGGAAATAAAATCTCCGCAACATGAGACCTTGCTGGACCCAGACAACTCCAAAAAGGCCCTTTAAAAAGTAAGCACCCCTTAAAAATATCATACAAGGATGCTTTACTGTGGAAAAACTCCCTTGGGTCTACAGCCTTGGTGAAATCACGAGAAAGGCTCCAGAAGAAAAAAAATGTACCGGTACGACAACTACAGCAGCTGCGCATGGGGAACCAACAACGGAGTGTGGAAGATCAACCTTCCAATGACGACATCGTCCTCTCTCTGAAAAACCAGCCCATGACCAACTGGTCCCCACGGAAGAAGTCGGTGGCGCTGAAGTAGCTCAAGAGGGAGCTGGAGGTCAACATGAAGCTGCGACGACCTCAAACCTCCTCTATAGATGCATTTGCAACATCTGAAACATCTACGATATTTACCCCATCTATGAATTCTACTACTAGCTCGAGAACCACATCGTCGACGACAACAAAAAATCATGGCAATAGGGAACGGCAGGACCGGCCATCTGCCACCCCAAGAGAAAACACAGAGCTATGGGAAATGCCATATGATCCAAACAACGAGACGATCAACGGGTACAATGAGCAACGCCAACCACTTTTGCTCGAGGTGATCTGCAATGGACGATGCCTGCACTCGTGGACAGTGGAGCATCCCATTCAGTATGCAACAAGGCAGCTCTCAAACGCATCAATGAGAAGTACACGCCTTCAAACTTCCAAGCTACAATGGTTGACGGAAGCAAATTACAAGTCTACGGCGAAGTAGCGTTACACCTGCAGATGGGTCCTCTTCGCTCGAAACCGACCCTACCCGTCACCAACATCAAAGGGCTAGACTTGATTATTGGGAGAGATTTTTTGAAGAAGTTCAACCTCGAGATCAACTGGTCCACCCGCACGGCGAGTATCTACAATCAAGACAGAAGAGTTCCTCTTCCAAATTGGAGCAACACGGGAGATATTCCGAAGGAGACTCTCGCACGCTTCGAGAAGGACGTGAAACGATCCATGGCAGGGTTTGTTGCACTGGTTACCAACGAGGACGAAGGAGAGAGAAAAACGCTCGAGCTTCCACCAGCAATCCAGAAACTTCTAGAAGAGTTCGAAGACGTTCTCCCTCACGACCTTCCAGATCAGTTGCCGCCATACTGAACCCACCAGCACGAGATCATCAAAGAACCTGGTTCAAAACCGACCTTCCGAGCACCATATCAACTCAGCCCTACCGAGTTGGCCGACATGAAGAAGCAGATCGAGTACCTTCTGGACAAAGGACTCATTCGACCATCAACATCACCATATGGCGCACCAGTGCTTTTCACACCAAAACCTGACGGAAGCTTACGCATGTGCATCGACTACCGAGCCCTCAACAAGCAGACGATCAAGAACAAGTATCCGATTCCACGGATTGACGATCTACTTGACCAGCTTCGTGGAGCCACGGTATTCTCAAAACCCGATTTGAGATCGGGATATTGGCAGACCCGGATGGCGGATAACTCCATCCATAAGATGGCATTTCGGACACGATACAGATCCTACGAGTACCTTGTCATGCCGTTCGGACTCACCAACGCACCCGCTACATTCCAGGCCAAAATGAACCATATTCGCAGGCCTCTACTCGACGAATGCGTAGTGGTGTACCTGGACGACATCCTGATCTACTCGAGGGACATGAAGCAGCACATCGAACACCTACGACGTGTCTTCGAGATACTTCGACGAGATAGGTTTTATGTCAGCTATCCAAGAGCGAGTTTGTCTTGAAGAAAGTCCAGTTCCTTGGACACATGGTGAGCGCTGAAGGAGTCCATGTCGACCCAAAGAAGATCGTACGTACGTGGAAGACACCGGAGAACGTAAAGGAACTTCAGCAATTCCTTCGCTTTGCGAACTACTACAATCGGTTCGTGCCACAGTATGC